AATATTTATCAGTGGAAACTATACTTCAAAATTTGTGCTGTGATCTTCTCCTAGTGATACATGGGTTCAGTATTTCCCATGTGGGCAGCAACAGTGAATGACAGGGCCAGTCAGCCACATAGTTACGAAGAAAAACATCAGGCCTCTTAGCTTTGTTACTGAATCAGGATATTCAGTAGGCTAGTGTAGCAAATACATTTCCAACTTAGGATATTTCCCATTTTGAATTGGGTCATTGTTCTATTGGAAGTCAAGGAGCATCTGTATTTTCAAGTTATTTGTCTCTGAATCTAAAGTGCACCTTTTTAGTTAGCATAGTTAAGTCTCTTGGCTGGGGATTTTTGTTAAGTACAATCTGGTCATACCTACCTTTCAGTTAATACTTCTATAAATAAGGTTGAATTTGGGTGTGTCCTTTTATTTCTTTTTTGTCACATACCCATTTATTTCTCTAGTTTTTTATAGTTTTATTTTACATTAAGCGAGTTTTACTAAGACAAAATGTTAATTTCTTTAATGTTTTTTCATGTTTCTAAATTTTATTACCTTAATGAGTATTGTAAATTATCTTATCAGAAAATACTTGTGATTTATAGTCTTAATTTTAGTAAGATAAAGAAATGTTCCTCCCCTATAATTCCTTCCCTTCTGGCCTTTTAAGTGGCTTTTTATGTGAACAGTGGGTTAAAAACATAACAACATATTATAATTATTTTACATAGTCTTACATCTTCTAAAGAAACTGAATAAAAGAGAGCAAGTAGTAAATCTTTGTATCTATAACCTTATTTACAATTTCTAGTTCTCTTCATTCCCAAGATCTAAGTTTTTGTCCCAGTAGAATTTCCCTCCATCTTCTTCGTTTGGTTATTTTCAAATATATTACATTTCTTTTACCACATACCTAATCACACAGTTAAATACATTTTAACCAACTTGTTTTAGCTAAGAGCTAAAAACTATTATACTTTATAATTATGTAATTACTTTCCTGTGAGTGTGTTGATACCTAAGATCTCTCATTATAAACCTAAAGAATTTGATTATTTCTTATGAGATAGATCTGATACCTATGAAGTAATAGTCCTGCTTCATTGTTTTTGTTTTTTTAATCTGGGAATTGTTTCTACCATTTTTGGAAGATAATTTTTCTGAATATAATTTTAGTTGGCAGTTTTTTTGTGTGTGTGTGTGTTTCCCATCACTGAGTATGTCCTGTTGTAAACACATTGACTCTGCTGAGAAGTCAACTATAATCCTTACCTGAATCCCTTGTATGTTTTTTCTTCTGCTGCTGCTTTCAGAATTTCCTCTCTGTCATTGACTTTCAGCATTTGCATTCTCATATATCTGGATCTGGGTCTCTTTGACACGTTGTAGCTTATCATGCTTAGAATTGGTTCATTTCCTTGACTGCCTCAATCAATGTCTCTCATTAAATTTGGGAAATTATTAGTCATGCTTTGGAACATTTTTTAGTCTTTACTATCACCTTTTGCTTTTAAATATATGTTAGTGTGCTTAACAGTGAACCGCATTCCTATGACGCTGTGTTCACTTTTTATTTTTCTCTCTGTTCTTCAGAATATTTATATTTTTGATAGCTTCAAGTTTACTCATTCTTATACCATTTTAAATACGTTCTTGAGCCTTATGGTGAATTAATTCATTGCGGCTGTTCATTTTTCAGCTGTAGAATTTCCCTTTGTTTACATTCCTTGTCTTTTTGTTGATATTTTTGATGATGAAACATTATTGCCATGTCTTTCTCCCATCCTTTAAGCAGGATTTCCTATAGTTGAGTATCTTTTTTATACCTTTGTTGATTTCTTCACCTGCTAAGTCTTATATCTGTGTCCTTGTTGTCTACTCTTTTGTTCTGAATGGATCACATCGTATTTGTTGGCATTTATTATGATGCTTTCTTAACAACTGGGCATTTTAGATAGAGAATAGAGCAAATCTGGATCCTGATCCTCCTCATTCACTCCCAGACTAACTTCTCAGTTGTTTATTTGCTTAGCAACTTAACAAGATTAGTGTAATAAGGAATATTGCTCTACCATGATGCTCTTGATTTCCTTCCTCCAAAAGCATAGCCATGGGCTATGAGTGACAGGTTGGTTTTTTGTTTGTTTGTTTGTTTTTTGTTTGTTTTTGTTTTTTTCTTTAAATGTTTCTCTTCTGTTGCCTTTTTGCCTGATGTTAGGTTTCTAATTGATGTATCTCTCTATTATCGCACACAAGAGTTGTTAGCCTTAACACATTTCTAGGTTTCTTTGCTCATAGCCTCCAAAGTCTGATGTGATTAAAGCCAGGCCCTTGTAGGGGTCATCTTTGAACTAGTCCTCAAGGTAAGCACTGAACACAGGAAGACCCTCCTTAACTATCTCTCTGAATACTTTATCAGCTATGAACTATCAGCCTACTCCTAAAGTTGCTTACCAACAAAATTTTCATTTCCGGTAGCACTTTTGGCCTAAAATTTCCCATCTCTTTCAAATAAATGTATCCCCTTTAGAAGAACCTGTGTTCTTACAGCCTGTCTCACACTCTAGACAGAAACTCTGTGTCATTGTTTCAAAGCTGGTTTAGGAACAATGGCTTGATTTTCTTTGAGCGACACTTCTGCTTTTCAGAAGAGTTTCTGTGCAAGGGTCATAGATTCCACATTTCTTGACTTGCCTTTCCTAGCATAGATTTCTAGCCTATAAGTGATGGTGTAAAAGTATATGGAGCCAATATTCTCCCAGCAAGCTCTTTAGGGAAAAGTCCTCCACTCCCCGTGACTTGGAATATCATCTGTACAAAACAGAACAGAGGAGAAGAGAATAGGGATAGTTATAAATAGTTGAAGAACCCTAGTTCTAGATTTGGACCTGTGAGGAAGGGAGCCTACTTCCTCAGTCTCAGTCAAGCTTCTATTAAACTCACCTTCAGGGTATGATACTGAGACACCCAGAGAAGGAAACCTGTTGTAGACTGCTTTAAATGCCACAGATTTCTTTGATTCTTACAGAGTTTTAAACATCTTCCTGTGGAGGAGGAAATAGACTTCTTCATTTGTTAGGACAATTTCTAGAGAGTGTAACTGTTACAGTTTATAATGTTCACTAGTTATACTTCCTTCACAGAGGAGAGGGTCCACAGATGTCCTTACATTGTTCTTTCAGTTCTTTACTCGTGTCACTTAAACTCATGTTTTGTTTTCTTCTTTTCAGCACTTATTGCTAGTTTAGAATTCAAACATACATTGCGAATAGTTTTTCTACCTTATTCACTGGCACAGTCTTGTAAGGGCTTTCACATGTGAACTAACAACAAATAGAGTCCATGGGGACATGTAAACTAACATCAGATAGAGCCCATGAAAAATGTGCCAGATACTTATAATTAAGATGAACTAGGTTATCAAAAGGAATTCCCACTGGAAGAGAAAAGGCTACCATGTATAGATAGATATTGTTGTTGTTTGTATTTTAGTCACATCAGTAAGTAGTGAATTAGTAGAACGCTTAGAGATGAGTGGTAAATAAGAGGGCAAACCCAGAAAGTAGCACAATGAAAGCAGCTTACACATTAGGGGCATTTGGTGAATTAGAAAAACTTGAGTATAAATTTTCACAGGGTCCTGGTGCATAAAGAATATAAGAAGTCTGGAACCCCAAAAGTCTAAACTGTTAGTATGAGATGAACTGAGAAGGGCTATAGGTATTTCTCTCTGTGAATTTATAGTAGTAAGCAGGCCTTCACATGAGATTCCTCAAGCAATTTGTAAAGGTCTGTAGTTTGCCTTTTCCTCTAGTACCTTATGTAATCAAATGGAAATCATCCCTGAAAGAAAAAAAAAACATCTTCAACCCAGATGGCAACGATTTCCAGAAATAATTTCTCAATAGTATTAAATAATATTAAAGCTCATATTCAAAAAATCATAAACTACAGTTAAACTAAGGACCAATAGTAGGAAATCAGGGGCTGGAAATGGTTCAACAGCTAGAGAGTATTCAGTGCTCTAGTATGAGGACTGGACTTTGAATACCATTACCCATGCTAGGTGGCTCCCAAATGCCTGTAACTCCAGCTCCAAGGGATCCAGTTCCGTCTTCTGGTCTCAGCAGGTACCAGCATGCATGTACACATACACTCACGTAAGCATATAAAGAAGCTGTAAAACTAAGTCTTTTTAAAACCTAAACAGCAAGTCAGGCAACAGTGGTGCACGCCTTTAATTGCAGGAAACAAGCATATCTCTGTGAGCTCGAGTCCAGCCTTGTCTACAAAGCTACACAGAGAAAACCTGTCTCAAAATAAACAAAAAAAAATCAAAAAACCTAAACAGCAGAGTTGAATAATATATTTAGATCAACCCATGGTCTCAGATATTATAACTATAAGCACACTTACAGAAAAGAAATAAAACTAGTATGTGTAGAGAAATTTAAGGGATTTAAAAAATTAGAATTGCAACTGATTATTTAACTGACCATACTGATGCTTCTGAAAATATAAATTATAATGTGACTATAAATCTAAGAACATTTTAGATATAGTTAAAAAACGTTTAGTGAGCAAAATAGTACAACATATCTATTTGAGAGTCTCCTACAGTGGAACTAACAGAAGGTAATATAGACTTGCAGGTTGTCATTCACAGTTTTTCCCCAGGAAACATCAAGCAGTATATTCATTATGCTAGCAAATCAGATGGAGGTGGGCTATTGCAAGGGTGGGGACTGAAATTAAAGTCCTTGCTCAATGAGACTGAGAACCACTGAGCTATGAGCCAAGCCCACCATGTGATCTCTTCAGTTACCAACTCTGAGTGCCAAAGACCCTACAAGTACAGTTCCATTTGCCTTTTACAGAAAACTTTAAGGAAAAATTGCAGGTCTCTGGTGTTTGAGTGTCTCTACAGTTAGCTGTATAGTGACAACGGGTTTCCTTTCACTCCAGTTGGCTCTCATCTTGTGCTTTCTCTCTCCCTTCCTCTTTTTCAGTGGCTGCTTCAACCCCCAATTCTACTGCTGGTGCAGCCATGAATTCCTTGACCTCTCTTGGGACTCTGCAAGGATTGGCTGGAGCCACTGTCGGATTGAATAATATTAATGCACTAGCAGGTACCATAAACAGTGAGTATTTGATGCTCTGGTGGACAGCCTTCCCCTAAATTCTTCAGAAAATGGTCAGCCAGAATTGACCAAAAAAGGATATTAAATGGGGAGAACTAAAACTTGGGATGGAGGAGCACATGGTTCAATAGGCAAAAGCTTTCTCCTTTGATTTTAGCTCAAAATAAACCCAACCACATCCCACCCCAGCTTCTTTCCAATGTGTAGTGTAATTCCAAATCCTTAGATTTCTGTGGCTTGACAGGTAGTTTTTCATGTTTCAACAAGTTTGGTTTGGTTTTTTGTTTTCTCAGCCCTGCTGCAAGGCAGGATGTTATAATAGAAAAGTTCATGGAGTGGAAGTTGGATAGCCCATGTCCGGCTCTACTGCCAGTCAACTGTAAGAGCCCAAGCAAATCATAGCTCCCTTCTCTGGCCTAGTCTCCATGGGAACATTGAAAATTCTGGGTCACATGATATTAAAGGTGCCCTCTAGCTTGAAAAATCAAGGATTCCAGATAAGTGTCAGAGCAAAAAACTAGTCCTTGGAAAGCCAGAAATGCAACCGAATGGCAAGAAGATACTGCTAGAAAAAGAACCGTCTTCATGAAGTGCCTGGAGATATGGGTGCCTTTGCATCAGTGACAGACAACACAGGGTTGGGCAAACAGATTAGTAAATTACACTTGATTCTGAAACAAATTGACCTGTTAGAAAGGATACTAGCCTCTGTCCCACACAACTAACTGTTCTGTTATTCAGATGCATATGGGGAATAGTGCCCAGGCCTGAGGATGAGTCACACTTGAGGATCAAGTTTCGTGTGGGCTTCTGCACTGGAGAAACTGAGCCGCAGCCATAAGTAGGGCATATAATTTACCTGTCCATCCATTTGGTCACCCTGCTTGCCCAGGAGGCCCAGAACCACCAACAGAGTTTCTGCATTTTGGACCTAGTTATCTACCAGAAGACCAAAGCAGTGTTAACACCTGCCTACTAATATGTGTAATAAGTAGGCCCTGGCCATGTATCTCACTTTAAGCCATCAGTTAGGAAGTAGTAAACTATTTTACTGAGTGACCAGACCACAATTATCTTAAATCAAAATTCTAATTTACATTTAAAAGTACAAAAAGTAATAATTTGCAAAAATAGTTGGACCAGCAAGATGGCTTGGCAGGTAAAGGTGCTTGTTGCCAAGCCTAATGAATTGAGTTCAACCCATAGAGATCCTCTTGGTAGAAGGAGACAGCAAACTTATACAAGTTGTCCTCTGACCCCTCCACAAGTTCACGCACTCGTGCACACACACACAAAATAAATAAATGCAATGAAAGAGTTTGAACTCTAAAATGTATCCACATAAAGATTAATTTGTATAATCCTGGTAAGAAAATAAACCATACTTTAGTAAGTAGACAATGTTCAGGTTTTATTAAGTCTTTTCATTTAGATGCACTAGGGAGGCAAAAAGAAAAAAGAAAAGAAAAGAAAAGAAAAACTAGACTGAGTTATATCTGACCATAAAGATAAAAGTGTTTCCTTCCACATGTGATGGCTCTTAATTAGCATATAGCACATGGCCTGGTAACCTTGTGATAGCCAGAATGTTTAATTCCAGTTGAAACTGCCTCCAGCTTTTACATTTTCCAGCAGCCACCTAGGAGTCTTGAGGCCTGAGTCCTGTTCTGGTGCAGCTCCTCTTTTTGACCTTGTCCTGCAGCAGTGCCAGCCCACTTGCCCTTCACCTGGGTTTCGGATGTGTGTGTGCATACATCCCTCATGCTGCTTCTCTTGCCCCAGGACCTAGTTCCCCTCAAACAAGGACTTTGATTTGATCGCCTGCCTGTCCTTGGTCTGCAGAGTAACAGGCCAGTGGGAATGGTTGTCCTCCTCAGCACGTGCTCATGACTGATGTGTGTCTCTGTCCACGTCTTGTGCCTCTGAACCTGCTTTGTTTTATGTTGCTGGGATTTTCCCATCTTTATTGTGAGGACCCAGGGGGGAACTTCATTGAGTGATGAGAAACAACAGCTAGTCTTTGTATGGGGTAGTGCATTACACAAAGTTTGCTCTGGCAAGTACAAAAAGTTTCAAATTGGGTTGTGATTTTCGTCATTTGCAACTGGGTTAATAGAAATATATGTGGTTTGTAATAGGTTAAGAAAAAATGTTTTAAAATCACATATGCCTTACATACCCCTACTTACCAGTCAGTGTGAACCACATGTTTAATTAAACAAAAATGATATACAAATAGAAATAAATACATTCCTTCTTGATTGTTACTAGTACAAACCTCTTCTACAACTTTAGCATCAACTTGGGGAGAGTACTTAATACCTTTCTCATATTAAATATTAAGGGAAACTCTTTTAGGGTAGAATATCCTTTTGGTTCATTCTTCCTCAACAGAAATTATGATGTCACCTGTTGCAGATAATTCTCTCAAGGTAGTCAAGAAATACTTTTTTTTAGATAGTCAGCTCCTACAACAGTTAACGACAGCTTGTGTATTTTTTCCTCCCCAGCTGTGTCCCTGAGTCACTTTATGGTACTGTGGCTACAGCCATGGGAGGATTCTGGTTTTCTGAACAGAAGCAGCTATTTTTCATGAACAGCAATAGAAAGGAAGTAGATAGATGATGCATCTTGGCCCAGACTTGGTCCTCTTCCCTGCCAGAGGGTCAGCCCCTTTCTAAAAGGGTTCATAGATAAGCTGCTAGCTTAAACTGTTTGAAAAACCTTTCCTTTCCCTTATATATTAATGAGTAAAACTAAATAAAGGTTCAACCCTCTAAAGGTAAAGCCAGAATCAATAAGATCAAAAAGAACGTGAGTCACTCAGATCTTTCATCTGGATAGTCTGAGAATTCCATGGATATGTTTTATATATTAGTATCTAAATTGAGATGAAAAATGCTTTGTGCAGATACATCTACCCAAGAGCGTCTATCTGATTAGTTGTTTCTAAATGTAAGTGAAATGGCATCCTTTTCTTTGTTTAAATTGTGTTTTTCTTCCATATGGCTTAATATGTCATCCTTGAAATTATTACTGTTTTACTGTAACTAGTCATAAGCACTTGGTGAAGAGTGATTTTGAATTCTTTTATGTGAAGAAAGGAGGACAGCCTTTGGACACATTACCCTAGCTTACATTGCTCTTATTTACATTGTGGAATCATTGCTTTAATGTGTCAGCAATTTCTGAAAGTGAGTATCACTCCATCCCAGAACACAACATTTGCATTTGTGATCTTACCAACATAGATAAACATGGAAGCACCCCTATAATTACATCTTCCCTAGTTCCAGATATTTTTCTCAGATTCTTATTTATTAAGGTGTTGCTTAGCAGGCTACACTTCATCTATCCAAATGAAAACTTAAATTCATTCATTAGGTCATAAACCTATTCTAATACAATCCTTACTTTTTCTCTCTCATTTGTATGATCTATCTCCTAGAAGAGTGTCTTGCAAATAAATGTAGTCTGTTTATGGTACATTCCTTGTAGTTCTGCTTTTTAGTACCATTTCCATGATGCTCACAAAAATAATTGTGGGTGTCTCTGTCTTTTAACTTAGGTCTGAAGAGTAGATGTAACAGACTGAGTAATCAGGCTACATACCAAGTATTTTTTCAGGCCAGTTGCCCAGACCTCTCTTACAGAGGTTTGTCTCACCCATCATTTTATCCATCCCTCTTTGTCTTAATAGCTTACATGAGACTATAGATGAGTAGGGGGAAAGAACTGATCCATGCAGCTTTCCTCAAAGAAAACTCTATTCTTTTAAATTGAAATATTTTATTCAACTATACTTACTTCAAATCTCTGCTTCTATTGTCCAAGGCTTTTAGAGGTAATCAGATGCCAGCAGCTGAGTTGTTAAGTGTTAACTTTGATACCATGATTATCTAATATAGAATAACACCAGGTACTTCATAAAAATTGCTCTCAGAAGTTGAAATCCTCCTCTGACAGTTCTGGAGATGATTCCTTGAGGTCCTTTACCCATTTATCCCTGAATCTGGCCAACACAGCCTCCAGATTTTCCAAGATAGTATAAATATTCTCAGTGCATTTGTATTTGAAAGAATTTTTAAACCCCCTTGTTTTTATTCAAGAATATGGTTATATTCTAGAAGAGGGAAGCTTGAGGCTAAGAAAACCAAGCTGTCCCACTCTTATCTGCACAGGTCCCTGACCAGTTCCCCCTACCTTGGCATCTATGCTCCATCTACTTGCTGCCTCCCTATAAGCACATATGGCTAGGAGTTTTCTTCCACACACATAGCAGCAGTAGAAGCAAGTAGAGCTTTCCAGAACGTAGTTCTAAGTTGGAGTGTAGTGTAAGAACACAGGCAGCCATGACAAAATACTACCCAGAAGATGGAGGACATAGCTGGAATGTTACTTGCTAGAGTTGCAGGCCTTCTACATATTCTATTATTTATGAAACCTCCTCCCAATATTTTGAGAGTATGAAGTTCATTCTGTTTTTATTTTAAGATATGAAAAATGACAAAATGGGGGAGAATTCAAAGCTGCAGACTAAGTAGAGCCCTTGTATGGGACTTACATGACAGTGAATGGGAACCCCACAGCCCTTATTGGACAAGATATAGTAGAGTGACAGGTAGGTTTGGAGGTATTTATTAGAGTGGAACTTAGGCCTCAGCACATGTCAGGAAGTTGGGCAACCCAGAGTCCCAAAGGTGTTGTATGCACATAAAACCACATGGTCTTGAGTAGAAGGGCAACTTCCCTTCATAATTTCCTCTTGTAAAGGAGTTGAGTCCACAGCTTGGTGGCCTGTATCCCTAGCATCTGTTATGAACTGAAAGAATCAGCTGTTCCAAGTTGTCTCACACACTTCTTTAGGCCTCTCAGAAGTATCACACACATACTGAGCAGAGGATAAAATATGACCAAAAGGAAAAAAGAAAATTCCTCCAGTGCTTTGGCAGCCATAATTACAGGGATGAGTGGGAAGAAAAGACACAGTGGGGGTAAATGTGAAAGTTGGTGTTGTACCACTCTCCAAGGCCCAGTTCAGTCTCCTCAAGCCCCATAACAGGAAACCCAAAGAACTAGGAGATTCCTCTGCTGCTAAGTCATGGTGGACTTCATATCTCAAGAGACGATGTTGTCCAAGTAGTATAAGTACATGTGGTATAAATAGGACATCTCCTACTCCTTCCGGTGACCTGCAAGTGGTCACACTGATGGAAATGTTAAGTGCCTCTGGTACTTGATTCCTCTTCATACTTTCAAGCATCTTATAGTAGCATTATTTCCAATACGTTGTTCTCAGAAACATATCTTTTTTAAAGTCTTTCTAATCATAGAATAAATAAAGGCAATTGTGTTACCTATTCCATTTCCTGAGTTCACGTGAAAGCTCATATTCTATGAAGCATTATCTGTTTTGACTCAATATTCAAGAAAATGACACAGTCAGCAACCAAAATAGAGCAACCAAGACACCAGGACAAAATCACAAACTGATCTACATTCAGATCCCCCAGGCTGCTGCCAGAATCCAGCTTATAGACAGTGTTGTTCCGGTTCGCTGGAAAACATGGCACTGATTACTGTCTGTGCACATGTGTGTGTGCCTCTCGTAGGATGTAAGTAAGTAGCTTCAGGTGTCCTGCTCCTTAATTTTGAGCCAGCTAGATTATGTATTCCTAAGGTTCCAGTTCCTCACAACCTCTTTGACTGTTTAGGAAAAGTCAATTCCATGGTACAACTGACTCACTGAGGTATACAACTAATATCTTGTCTGCTCTGCCACTTCCTAATCACACATGTAAAGATTTTCTCTTTGCTCCCAAGCTTACTGAACTACCCATGGCCCCCTAAGAACATAGTCAGTGGACAGCAGCATACAGGTGTGATAGGCCTCAGCCATTAAGGTTTTGGCTTGGTTTTGGTTTTCTTTTACATTCTTCTTAAATTTAAGAAGCAGAAAGTATATATTTCAAAAATGTAATGGTTCTTGCCAGCAGCACACTGCATGGAGTGGTTTTGTCTGACTTCAGGGGCTCACTGCATTTCTATCAGTGGTATAGGAAAGGAGAGCTATCATTGCTTTTTTTTCTCCACATTATTGTGATTTATTTCTTCATATGTATCGTTTTTGACTTTATGTTGGTTTAATTGGTGTGCTAGCTGCATGCACTTGCTGTTGTACTGTGTCAAATGATTACTCAACTTCCTTTGGAAAGCACTAATGAGTAAGTGCTATTTCTCTTCTCTATTGTTGGGTTTTTTGTAAAGTTGCTCAAATGCTCTCAGGTATGGCGGCTCTGAATGGAGGACTTGGCGCCACAGGCTTGACGAATGGCACGGCTGGCACCATGGACGCCCTCACCCAGGCCTACTCAGGAATTCAGCAGTATGCGGCAGCTGCACTGCCCACTTTGTACAGCCAGAGTTTGCTGCAACAGCAGAGTGCTGCAGGCAGCCAGAAGGAAGGTAGGTATCTATCTACACCGAAAGGCCTGGCGGGGCCAGCCAGAGCTGCGTTTGCCTTTAGAGCGTGCCCAGAAGGTGCTGACTTAAACCAGAGTCTTAAGAGAAATCACCTGCTTACTTTCTAATATTCATGTTAAAAGAAAAAAGTCTCAAGCATGAGCCCTTTGTCACAGTCTTCTGTTCATCTTACACTGTCCTCAGTTTTTCACAAATCCCTCAGATTCTCATCCATCAGGTGTTTACAGGAAATGATTTACTAGTTGCTATTATCAAAAATGCCTAGTACATCCTTTCCCCAGTCAGCATGAATACTCAGTCTATCTCCTCACACAGAAACTCCTTAGTGAAAGGTACCATTTGATTCAGTGTGGGGGAAGAGCTTCTCTCCTGAATTCCCCAGGTTCTTGGTGTTCACATCCCTTGAAGTTATATGGCTGCCTTTCAGAAAGCAATAGCTCCAACTAATGATGAACTCCACAGTTAGAAATGGTTTAGTTTGCTGTATATGTAGCATGTCTTCTGGGAAAGAAATAAGTGATGGGTTCAGTAAGGAAGGGCACATTTCAGAAAGCTAATACTAAGAATAAATTAAAATTATAAAATGGTACATGGGCTCATCCAAATAAGGATAATTTGTTCTTCCGTTTCATTCTTTTGCTCTATCGGTCGGTTGGTCGGTTGGTCGGTTGGTTGGTTGGTTGGTTGGTTGGTTGGTTGGTTGGTTGGTTGGTTGGTTGGTTGAGATAGGGTCTCATCCTACAGCCCAGGCTGTCCATGAATTTGTGTCAGTTCTAGTGGCTCCATCTCCCCAGTGCTAGGATTAGAATTACATTTGCATGCTACCTTATTCCATTGTTTTAACTTCTTTTTTAACTGAAGTTGCTTTAAAGTAGTCAGCAATGTGATGTTTTATTTGTTCAGAATATGGGGAAAGATAAATCAGAAGAATTTTTGTTTGTTTTTCCCCTTTTCCCCTCATTCTGTAGTTACAAGCAACTTTTACTTTGATATTAATTTAAAGGTGATAATCTGTAAAGGGTATCATAGTTTTACTCTGCAAAGTTAGGATTTTTAAGGAGATACAACCTAAAAATAGAAAATAAATTTTCCTTTGACAAATAGCATAGAGATCATGGGACAAAAATACATGAGACCTAACTTACTTCTCAGCTCTTTCCTCTGAGCTGTGACTTCTATAGGTATTCAAGCATGTACATCTGTTTAGGCAGTTGTATCTCACTGGGTACTTCAAAGGGACCCCACATCATGAGCACCACAGGTCTTCCCTAAGAAAGCCTGTCTTTGTTTAGTCCCTGTAGGGTTGACAGCCACTGTGAGAAGGAAATACCATGGGGGAGAACCTCTAAGATAACAAAGCTAAGTTCCCTAAATGGTTGTGGAGAATGTTGGATGTCTGTCCATTATTCAGCATGGCTTTACAGGACAGTATAACTTGTATCACTCAGATATAAAACTGCCACCAAAAGATTAAGATCTGGGCCTTGTAACAATATTTTTCTAAATGGCTTCACCCCAACCCACTGCTGGAAGATGCTGTTCTTTGATTTGGAAGACCTGGAGGTCATGATCACCATGTCCTAATTCTAATTTAGGGCTGTTGGCTACCAGTGATATGCTTTAGGGCTCTTTATTTTTTGGTACTAGTCATAGCTTTGTTCATTTCATTGGTTTGGTTTGTTTGTCCCTGCCCCCAACCCCAACTTTCTCATACCTCTCTCTTGATCATCTTCTCACCCAGTTAATCTAGCTCAACAGTACCATCCATCTGCCATTAGCAGATTTTGAAATCCCCTAACCTATAGCTCTGTCCTTGTTCTGACCGTTAGTTAGAGTTGAAATGTACCCTGAACTATGTAGTCATGGACTCTGGTGTATTTTTCCACCACAGGAAAATGAACCATTTGAACTTGGCAAAGAAATGGTTCAAAAGGATGTTTCCATAGCTAAATGTTTTTGAAGGATTATAGCATTCCTACAGATCTAAATATCAGGAAAGCCCAGCACCTTTCATACCGTTGTGAACATCCTGGGGCTACTCTCATACATCCCCATCTCCCTTCCTTAACAGGAAGCAAGTTATGAACACACAAATAGTTAGGGTCCCAGCAAGAGGCCAATTGGCACTTGTAGGTTTGGTGTAGCTTTGTTCTAGAAGATAGTTGCCTCCGGGCTTTGGGGTTTTATGCTACATCAGGCACTCTATGAGAAACACAGAATCCAACAGCCAGCTTGTAGGGACCAGTAATATAACACAGCTGCCAGTTAAGGTGTCATGCTAGGAAGTGAACAGACAGAAAGAGTGAGTTGTGAACGTGTTTTTAATTAATTTTAGAGATCTAGATTGTGTGTGCTTGTGTGTATGTGTGTTTGAATTTTTGCTGGTTTTGCTATCAGCTATATGAGTTGCATACAATGAATGTTTTTCTGTATGAAACTGTTTTTTGTAATCTCAGTTTGGGAGGGTTAAAAGATCAAACCACTTATTGGTAATGGCATAGCAGAGGAAGGGGATCAAGAGGATTTTAGAATTTGTCTCCGAGGAAAAAAATAAACAAATGGAGCGATACCTCTTTTTGTCTGTCTTGCTGTTGATGATCTGCCTCTCTCTAGCATGTACAGAATCAGACATATATAGATAGCATTCTGGATTCCCAGGATCATTCAAGCACATATAGTCTGTCTTATTCATTAAAATTGCACTTACTGCTCAGGCTTCAGGAGTAGCAACATACCTTATGGTGCAAACTGAGCTGCATTAATCCTTCTTGAAGCATTTAAATCCTTTGTTTAAAAGGCACACTAAATCTGGGGTACATATTTGACCAGCATACCTATTACTAAGAACATACATGGTACAGTAGCACTTAGCACACCCATTTCCAGCATTTGAGTTTTCCCATCTATCCATATTAGGACCAGAAAATAGTTAAGTAGCAGTGTCAGCTATACTTGTCTCCCTTTGAAACAGGCTGCCTCCCTTGAGCTGGATTACAGAAATACCCACAGACTCTGTAAGTGGTAGTAGTAATACAGACATGGCTTTTTGTTGTTGTTGTTGTTGTTGTTGTTGTTTGGGGTTTTTTGTTTGTTTGTTTGTTTGTTTTGGGGGTGTTTTCTGGGGGGGTCTTAGTTTTTCCAGACAGGGTTTCCCAGTGTAGCTTTGGAAGCAGTCCTGGAACTAGCTCTTGTAGACCAGGATGGTCTCGAACTCACAGAGAACTGCCTGCCTCTGCCTCCCGAGTGCTGGGATTAAAGGCATGCACCACCAACGTCTGCTACAGACATGTTTTTAAGAAAAGAAGAAGTAACTACATCTCTGGCTTCAGTAAAGTGTTGTTCTTTACAACACTTTATTAATTTTCTGGGAGCAGACAAAGATACACCAATTCTTTTATTTTTACTAAGTTCTTTTTAATCCTGATTCTCCTCATGTCCACACACATAGATACCATTCCCCCACTGTAAGGGTTCTGGAGGGAAGGCACAGGATCCTGATCCCAGTCTCCTCGTGAAACAGACAGGCAAGTTCCCTCTCCTGTGATAGCCAGGTCAGAAGTCACTGCCCCAGTTCTGAATTTCTTTTCTTCCCAGTGCCCAGTGTCCCAACTTTATCCTCTCCATCCAGTGCATCTGGTTCCCTTCTTTTCACTTCCATACAGCTCTTGTATCGGTGAATCTTGAGTTCAGTGAGAAACTTAAGGAAACTAACCTTCCAAGGAGTACAGCTAAAAAGACCTTCTCTCTTCCCCCCTCTGGGATTTGCATGGAAAGGGAAAGGCTGTATTTAACTCAGTCTTGGAGAAGCTCTTGGGTCCACAGCACTCAAGTATAATTCTCAGTGATAAAGGCCTGTCAGAATTGTAAGATTCTAGTCACCTTTCCCAGAGTTCTTGACTTCCTGCCAGTCATTCTAATAAAGATGATTATTACAGTATGTATGCACAGATTTGCCAAATCAAAACTGGCTGAATAACCAGGCAAATGATTGAGAAATCCAAGCAGCATTACTGCTGTTGTATTCATTTTTCTGAATTGCTGCAATTTGCTTATAATGCAAAGAGCATTCTCTTCCACTTGGGGAAATAGTCTACACATAAAACATGACCACCCGGTGAGTGGATGTGAGCCGCCGCCAGAGCCGCGGACGGTTTGCTCAGCCCGTTAGTGCCGCTGGTCCAGACTCCCACCGCCGCCGCCATGTCCCGCTACCTGCGCCCCCCCAACACGTCTTTGTTCGTCAGGAACGTGGCAGACGACACCAGGTCTGAAGATTTACGTCGGGAATTTGGTCGTTATGGTCCAATAGTAGATGTTTATGTTCCACTTGACTTCTACACTCGACGTCCAAGAGGATTTGCATATGTTCAATTTGAGGATGTTCGTGATGCTGAAGACGCTTTACATAATTTGGATAGAAATGGATTTGTGGGCGTCAAATTGAAATACAGTTCGCACAGGGGGATCGGAAAACACCAAATCAAATGAAAGCCAAGGAAGGAAGGAATGTATACAGCTCTTCACGATACGATGATTATGATCGATATAGACGTTCTCGGAGCCGAAGTTATGAAAGGAGGAGATCGAGGAGTCGCTCTTTTGATTACAACTATAGAAGATCTTACAGTCCTAGAAACAGTAGACCGACTGAAAGACCACGGCGTAGCCGAAGCCATTCCGACAATGATAGACCAAACTGCAGCTGGAATACCCAGTACAGTTCTGCTTACTACACTTCAAGAAAGATCTGAAAGCGGAAAAAAGAACCAAAGAAGGGCAGTTCAAGCGACCAAAGGGTGGGTGGAAGGTGCTGCAGTATGAATACTGTACGAATATTTTGACTCTGGTCTGAAAAGATAAAAGAATTATCGAAAGCTACATGGAATAATTGAAGTCCCTTCAAGTTTGAAAGTAAGCATTTTAGGACAAATAAAAGGAAATTCAACTTTGTACTTGTGGAAACTAATCCCTAAATATGAAGAGGTATATATTGACTCATGGGTGGCAAATCCATGATAAGTTATTGGAAACTAGGATGTCGGAATATCAAGGAAGACAGCCATAGTCTCTAACAGTGCCTCTCTTGGTCTGTCTCAAACTAAATTGGATGGTAAAGGTATGGTCCAATATAAAGTTTTTCTTGGTTATCTCTTAAAAGTCAGTTCCACTTAGCCAGTGTTGGCAGGTCTTGCCTTTGCTTATTCCAGTGCCAGTATTTTCTGCTTAATTGTTTGTTTTGTTGGCATCTGAGTTATTTACTTGTATACCATGTGCAGTTTACATCTAACCACTCCTTCCCAGGTTAATTCCACTTATACTTGACATCCAACCATGAGGGCCCATCTCTTTCTCACCTCTTGCCTAGACAGTATGTTCAACAGACATTTACTGAATGAACCCTGACTGTGGGCAAGACATTATACTGGATAATTGGAGAATAGACAGATAATTAGTTAAGTATCTGAGTACAGTCTAGTGAATCATTACAGTGTGGCTATATCTTGAGGTGTATCGTGACAATACTTCATGCCATTCATGTCCTAATGTAAATTGTAAACACAACATACTATCAAAGATAAGTAATTTTATGGTTGTCTGCCATTTTAAGTTATAACAACAAATAATGAAGAAAAGCTGTGAAAAGCAGATTTACTGTGCAGTGGTTAATATACTAGAGTAATACTAAATTGTTAGCCCCTGGCTCAGTCAAACAAATAGATAGTCCCCAAGTATATAACTTTGTACTAAAGCAGACCCTGGGTGCTATAATTAGATTATTTTGAGGCAGACAGCTGTTACCCCATGGACTTAGTATATTCTGTATTGGGAAAAAATGTTTACCAGATCAGACTTTTTAGTGATCTACTTGTACATTTTATGGGGGACATAATTCTGCGTGTATAGTTGATAACTTTATAGTGTCAATGTTTTTGATTCCTTGGTTCCTTGTTAGGATATGATGCTTGTTTATCATAACATTGATTCCATCACTTTTGAATTTTTGTTGTATTTTGCCACATTTTTAAGCTGTCAAAATCTGAAATCTGGAAAGTGTAAAGCCTTTTATAACAAATTTTAAAATGTGATAGGATTACACATAAATGAAGGGAGGTAAAATGAAGGTTATTTTATCTGTGTTAAAAACAAAGTTTTTTTAGTCTGCCCAAACTTAAAAAGGCAGCAGGTACCAGGTGAGAATTATAAATTTTGGCTTCATTTTTGTTGCTGTTTTTATTTTGAATCAAGTTGGAAATGCTTTTATAGTTTTATTTTCAAGGACATAATAAAATTGATAAAAACTGAATTTAGCATTTATTTCAAGATTATAAATAACTAAATGTATTTTATACCATACAAAATCATTAGCATTGGATTGGTTTTAAAGATAGAGGTTCTGTGTATCTGTGCAGTTCATGGGTGTTTTGTTCCCTACCTCCCCTCTCCATTTCCTTTCTAATTGAACTTAAGGCCTTCCAGAGGAGAGAATTGAGTTGTGTATTCACATGAGGGTTTTGTTTTAATTGTACTTTTTGGGTTTCTTTGCTTTTAGGGGTTTCATTTGCTGGGAAATAACCTTGTTCATTTACAAGTACAATAACAGTACTTGACAGCTCTTAAGTTTAAGTGTGGTAAATTAGAAAGGGCCCCTGTGGTTCAGGTAGTTGTAGAGTTAAATTGTTTTAGTCTTGTCTACTGTGGTTTTCCATGTATATTAAAGGCTGTCAATATTACTAAGTACTTTCTGTGCCAAGTTGTATGTTTTCCAGATATTCCTACTTAACCTTAAATCGCTTGTCTTCTGTGGGAAGCCCACCATGTGGACAGAAAGTTTTGCATACATACATACATTCATTCATTCCTTACTACCTTCTAAGTATTCCACAATTGTAGGCTGTTTGGAGCTTGGGTACTCAAAGCTGACTTTTCCAAACTTCAGTTTTCTTTTGAGTCTTTGTTGTGCCGCCCTTTTTTTAAAAAACAAAACAAAAAAAAAAAAGCCAATAAAGATGTTCCTTCTTATAAAACACTGAGATTAAAGACTAACTTGAGCACCAAGAATCAGGATCATCAAAACCCTTAGGTGTCCCAGAAAGGAAGTGTTCTCAATTTTCGGTGATGATCTGATAGATGAATAAACAACTATCAGTTTCCTCAAGGTAGTCTATTCATTGTGGAAGATGACTCTTTGCTCTTAAGTGTTTTCTGTCTCTTCCTCCAACAATGTTAATGTTTGTGTATTTGTAAAGCTGGTTCACCGTTCACCCTGTGTTAAAAGTGGAGGTTTTTTTTTTTTTTGTGGAGTTGGGGGGATAAAAGTTTGAGGCATGTAAATTTCATTAGCAACAGTTTGTAAAGAAAGAAAAAAGCCTTTGTAATCCAGGTGTTTTGTAGAACACATTGCTTTTGAATGCTGGAGAGATTAAAATAAAATGGTCTAGGTGCTTTTTTAAAAAGTATTGGTTTTTCTGTAGACTTTGTTGTACCTGACAGGTATGACTACTCCAGTAGACAGTTTTGTTTTTGAGGTTTTAGAGCTCTGTTCTTTGATGAAGTCATTACCCTTGAAAATCGGATGGAGGGGTGGAAACTGCAAGACTTAGAGCCTTTTGAAATCCTAGTACATGTATTTTGTGCTTAATAAAGTAAGGTTGTCATGGAGATCATACTACAGTGCCACCAAAATCACATAAAGCTTGTACAGTATGTGGCTACCAGAAAAAAAAAAAAAAAACATGACCACCCAGGAGTAACCCATGCCTAAATTCTGTCCCCATCCTGCCTGCTACTACCACCTTCACCACCATGGAGATGAGTGCTAATGTGCCCCTAAAGGGAGCCAAAGATTCTCTATGGAAACGAAGCTACTCAGAGCATGCCCACCACACCCCTGCCACCAACTAGAAAATTTCAAAGGATAAATGTTTTCCTGAGGATCATGCTGGCACTTAAAATTAACCATCTGCATATTCTTTATAAGAAAAAGCCAATGGCTAGCCTGCCTATTACTAAAGTATTCCTAAGAGGCTTTGGGGACTGAGACTTGGGGGATACCTTACTCTGATTTTTTCTTCCTCTTTAGGTCCAGAGGGGGCAAACCTCTTTATTTACCACCTTCCACAGGAGTTTGGAGACCAGGACATTCTGCAGATGTTCATGCCCTTTGGAAATGTTATCTCTGCTAAAGTCTTCATTGACAAACAGACCAATCTGAGCAAGTGCTTTGGTATGCAAAAGAAACCTAGCTAAATATTGCAGGTTTCCCAGTCAGGAGTCAGCATAGGGCCTTCCTTTTGGTGGTGGCTCCTGACTTTCTAGTTGCATGTGAGCAGATTTGGGCAAAGTTACTTAATCAGAAAAGGGGGAAGTGCTGTATAAAAGGGGGCATTCCCTTATCCTAGGTAATGTCTATACTGTAGTATTAAAGTATCTTCCTATATATCTGATTCTTTCTCACCATAGAGCAGCAGTTGTTTCTTCAAACCCTGTAGATGGAGCCATGTATTTTCAGTCTGTACTGCTATAAATGACCACTGCTAACACTTTGCCACTAATTCCTTACTCCTACAGTCTCAAATAGCTCAAACACTGTATCAAGGCATGTTACTCAGTACTTAGATAGGTTACAAATGTACACACTCATAAGCAGGATATGGCCAGGCTGCTGCCAGTGCATCTCTATAGCAGTTAGTGTGTCCTGTGGTTACGGAGAACAAAGCATTATGATGGGCTTAGTTTGTAAGATTGGCCAGAGCTATGTGCATAGGCCAGAGCACAAGAATATGCAGGTATTCATCAAACACTACAAAGTACCTAGCTGTCAGGTCCTGCACCCTTGGGGTCCAGAGGGAGCATCTTCCTTTTTTCCCCTCTTATAACAGAGTAATGAAAATTCTTATCCTGATATTACTATATGACAAGGACAGCATTTGTTAAAACCAGGACTTCCTTATTTGTCAAACTGATTTAGTCCCAAAGACTTTAAGAGTTCAAGGTATTCAGAGCCTTGCTTATCAAGCTCTGGACCAGTGTGCATCACATCATTTTCTTGATATTACTCCTACAATTTAATAATATTGTGAGAGGAAGTACATTTTATAAAATAAGATATGGGCCAAACAAAATAGAATTATATGTGTTACAAAAAAAATATACAAGGTAAACTACTTCTCAGACAGCCAGAAGTTCAAACCTTCTCTGGCTGACTGGTGAATAGCATTTTGGTTCTACAAGCTCTGGTACTAAGGCATCTCATCATCCAGGATGGCCTAAGCCTTGGGGTTAGAAGAATTAAGGCATCAACCATTTCCAGGAATGGTTTTTCACCCTAGGAGAAAGGTTACCAGCCTAAGCCCACTACACCTCTGCTGTGGGAACAGTATAGAAGCCCTTGGTAACCCTGAGGAGTAAAATGGAGGCTAAGCTGTCATGTTGGGGTACATGCATGTGAGAGCCAGAACTTACTTTTTAGAAAGTTTCCTGTGTAAGTTTTTTAGACAGGCATAGTTTTCATTGCTTAAGTTTATCTGGAGACTGAAAGGGACTGTAGTCCATGATTTGAGGAAACATTACCTTGAAGAGAGATTTTATCAGTCCAGAGACTACTTAACCAATATGTTCATGATAATACAAGCTGTAGCTGTGAAATTCCGAAATGTATTTTCCATTTGTCTTAAAAGCTTTACCTCCCAAGTTTCCCAGTGAGTGAGTCTGTGTCTTGAGTTCCCAGTTTGCTGAGTCGCTGGTCATGATAAATCCACCCTTTCATCCGTGTCACTCTTGACCCATTTCCATTCTTTAATCATGCCACTTGTACCTAAAAGACCCCAAGAGAAAGGAGAAGGCACACCAGAGAGGAGTCTTGGATTTATGATAACTGTCACTGAGAATTGGGGTTAATAGAAATGTAAACACCCGTTTTTGCAATACAGCCAGCCTACCAATTGAAAGTTTTCCTGCCATTTACCTTGTGTCCACTTTTATCAGCTGAGAACTCTGCTCCAAGTATGTTTATGTCCTTTGCTCCCTCCACTGGTTTGTAAAAGAATTTTCTCTTTAGTTTTAAGCCTTCATAGTAGTAGATAGGTGGAAATGCCATGATCTTCCAAATTACTGATGTTTTGAAGTGAAATTCAATCCATGGAGTTGCTTTCTGTCACCACTCAAAGTCAGGAGGTACATAAGCTTACCACTTGCCTAATTGGCCTCACAGTCCACTGTTAGAACAAACACCACAACCAGAGTTCTCTCCTCCTGAATCTTTGCAGAGTATTGTTTGTTCTTCTCTCTCTCTCTCTCTCTCTCTCTCTCTCTCTCTCTCTCTCTCTCTCTCTCTCTCTCTCTCTCTCTCTCTCTCTCTCTCTCTCTCTCCCTTCCTCTTTCCTCCCCCCCTTTTCTCTCGCTTATTGTTGCAGATACAAATTACCGGGATATGCTGAGATGATTATTAAACCCTAAGACAAAGAAAGACATGTAGCTTTTCTCTGGGTCTGTGTGAATAGTAATTCTGGAATGTTAAAAATGCTAGTATACATTATTCTAATTCAGTTAATTTGGTGGTAGACCCATCCTAAAGCCAACACTGTATAGGCTCTGTCAGTGGAAAAATATATATACATATACATATCACTCTATTCCAAGGATTCTTTCCAAAGGATTCTGGGGGGTGGTTGGGAGGGGAAGAGTAAAATAAACAGGTATCAATTCAAAGACTAAATAGAGGGACAAAGTTCATAGAACAACTTAGCTTTAGTTTTGTGGAGAGGGTTTTTGCCCTACATGGAGAATTGCACTCCACCTAGCTCTTTCACTATTTGCCAGTGGGCATTACCAATGCTGTCCACAGAAATGCACTGTACATGCATGGGACAGCATAAACCTAGCAGAGCCCAGCTCAGACCCTGGGACAGGCAGCTCTCAGCATTTGCAGTAACGCTGTGCCAGCCAGCCCCGCCAGCCCCATTTTCTGCTTGGCTTCCCCTTCGCCCTGACCTCCGGACCTCCTTCCCCTTTATGTCTTCCAGGTTTTGTTAGCTATGACAATCCAGTCTCTGCCCAAGCTGCAATCCAGGCTATGAACGGCTTTCAGATCGGCATGAAACGTTTGAAGGTGCAGCTGAAGCGCTCCAAAAACGACAGCAAACCTTACTGATCCTAACCCCAGAAGCTCCCTGCTCTTATTTTAGCTTTCTTAGGGTAAGTCCCACAAGCCAGCCTGTTCTCAACAGGGAAGGCAGAGGAGGGACCACAATGCCAACTTTTACCAAGAGAGACGGTTATTTTTACAATAAGGCCTCCATTTCTTCCACTCATGCCCCACCCAATTTGCCATAATTAAAACTTGGGCTACCTTGTTTTCTGTTGAGTAAATCCCTCCTCTAATTGTGCCACTGTACTCTCCTTTGTTTTGCAATTTGAATATCCTTACTCCTTTTTAAAATTTTTTGTTTTGCTTTTTAAAAGAAAAACATATAAACAAATAAATGACATCTTGAGATTTTAAAAGGCAAGCAAACACTAATGTGCAATTCTAACTCTGAAACCACTGGTGCCCCAAGAGCACTGCCTGGAGAACTCACCTGTCCTTGCCCACCCGCCCGCCCGCCCGCCCCTCAGAGGGCCCACGTTTATAGTTAACGTGCTGGCCTAGCAGAGGGAGAAGCCAGGAGAAGCTTAAAACACCACAGAACATCCTCCCACTACATTGGTTTGTTTTAATATAAGTAGGATTTTATTTTAGGGTTCAAAGAAACATGACATTTATTGGTCAGATTATTACACTGGTTGTCTATTTTGTTATTGTTTTATTTTTGTTTTTAGAAAGGATTAATGTAAAAAAAGATTTAGAGATCTGTTTCTTAAAGCTACAGGGTTTAAAAATAAAATAAAATGAGTGAAAATACTTGATGTTTCTTGAAAGATAAATTTAATAATAAATAAATACATAAATAATACATAAATAAAAAAGAAAGCCACAGGCCTGTAAATTTTATTTGTAAAAAAGCATTTCTATTTTTATACAAAATTTTTACTGCCTCAGAAATAATGGAAGTTATTTATTGCCTATTGTTAACTTATTGGGTACCTAAAGAGCAGTTCTCTGTCTAGCTAGAACCTTCTGAAGTAGTCTCTAGAGGAATTGTTCTAGGAATGGGCTTTTTTTCACTGTTGAACCCTAGACCTAAAGTTCATGCTTTATCCTCTTGTTGTTTGTATCTGTCTGATTATTTTGTTCGTAATTTCCATTATCTAGTTTACAGTTCAGTTGTCTTGACTTCCCCATATGTCACCTTTGTTCAAGCTGGACCCTCTCCTCTGTCCCTTGCTAGTCCCTCACCCCAAACACCCAGAATCCATCCCCTCTTGCTCGCTCGCTCGCTCACTCTCTCCAGATGGATTCTCTTGGGGTTTCATTGTGCTGTGGAAAAAGAGTGTAAGAAATGCAAATTATGTGAATGGCTCATAGACTCCCTGAAGACCTAAGATTTGCATTAGTTTTCCTCCTGCACCCTTGAAAGGGATTTTGTTGCTGCTGCGTAGATTCTGTGTAACTTTTTACTCTTCCTTGTTTTTTCCCTAGACATCTTCATGCCCGTTAGTTCATCGTTTGCCTAGCATGTCCCTGTGGCGTCTCAAAAAAAGTTTCATCGTCCCGTCATTGTTTCTGATGTCTTTCTGACCTCACATCATATTTGGTTCTCCTACTGACCTTTGATCTAGTTTGACCTTTGAAATTTGCATGTGACCTCATCTAGCTATGAATTCTGGGAAGTCAATGTGAAAAACATTGCTGCATTCATGCAAGACTGAAATTATTAGACAAATTATAGAAAAAAAAAACCTGTGGCAAAAATGTTTCTTTCTTATTTTTTTTCCTTTTCATAACACAGACTTGAAAGTATTACACAGGGATTGGCATTCTTCCCGGTCACTGGTGACAATAGCAATATGTGTCCAGGGACACAGAATGTTGGTTTCTAACAGACTACTTCCAAAAACAGTTTGAGAAAAAAAAAACTGTCTGATTTTAAGTCTCTAGAGGTCTGTAATAGTTTTTACATTTTTCAGGCAGTGTAAAGTTTTTTGATAAGGCCATTTTAGGTGGCTCACTTTCTCATTAAGATATATATATAGAACCACTTTTTGTAGATTAGTATAAGGAAAATATTTACCCTGTTTTGGGGCAAATGCTACCTATTTGTGTCACCTTTTGCTGAACTGACTCACAGTTAGACAATCCATGGTTTAATGCACATGAAATTACCTATATTTTATACTGTTTCAATGTACAGGAGAAAGGTTACTGTAAACTGTGTCATGTTGGTGCTTCTGTGGATTCAGTTGTGGTCTCATCATGAGTCTTAAGGTCTTAATGTTATTTGTTGATAAGACAAGCTTAGAATTGGTTTACTTAAAACAAAAAAAAAGAATTTCAAAAAAAAAAGTTGTTTGCTTAAAAAAATAATTTCATGTGAGAGAAAAAAAAACTATTCCAGAATAAGTTTTGTGTTGGCTTGAGAAGCATTGATGTCACTTTTTTTTATTGTGAACTATTAGATGTGTTTGTGTTCAGCAAAATGTGATCTGTTTTTGTTTTTTCTTTTAAAGAAAAAAAGTGAAAACTATATAGTGCCAAATTCCAAAGGTACTTCCTTCTAGAGCTTCGGTGTGTTTCTTGTGAGAAGTAATTTGATAACATGGGTATTTTATTATGTGTTTTGTATAAATCCCTAATATTTAAAAAAAAAGGTTACAAAGTTTGTTAACTTGCTATCCTGTGGTCTTGTTGCCTGAAATTGTTATTGTTTGTTATTTCTCTATGCTGTTTTTTGTAAGACATTGTATAAGTGCCCATGTCTCACTTTTTTAACCACTCTACACATCAATGCTGTGAAGGCAACCCTTACAATGTACTTTCTTCATAATATCTGGAAACCTCTAAGGTGAGAAAGTCTTGAACTTTTAACCCTTTCTACCCAGAGCTATCTGGAATGTTGGTAACTTTTTATACTGTCATCCTTGGGTTGTTTTGGGGTGTTTCTGATTTGGATTTTTCCCATCTATATCTTCTAAGTTTTGTTCTTTGAGATCCACCCACCTAAAAACTCTTGTCTTTTTCCTACACCATTTTTTATTTTCTTTTTTATTCCCCCTCATTCCTATTATCCTATGCTCCTTTAGTTTGAGCTTAAAAGCTTGAGTTAAACCCTGTGAAGGTAAAAACAGGTAGACTTAGCCCCGAAATAAACCCTAAAGACACTGTTTGCTTTTTGAGATCAGGTTTCATGGTTATGTCGTAGTAGTGCACAATATTTTCATACACCCTGCAGTTAAATGGCTTTTGTATGGTCTAGTCTTTCAAGGAATTTTGCTTTTGTTTCTTAAACACTCCTAAGTAATGTTGAATCAGCCATTGTGCTATGGATTCTTGAACTCCAGTGGACACCTGAATATCCAAGGTGTCTATGGAAAAAGCCCACGGACCTTTCCTTGTCTCTCTGGTTTTCTAGGGTGTTTTGACTTTTGATTGAACACATTTAAAGGGGCCGGCCATGTAAGAGGAGCTTGGCTCTGTTCTTTACCACAGTTACTAACCAAATACCCAGGATCAGTTCCTGCTGCCACTTTGTAAAGTGCCACATTCTTCTGAGTCTGGCTCTGTATGAACAGACCCTAATGTCACACCTACAGTCCCAGCACACACCCAACCTTGGGGAAAGCACACCCTGCAAGTTTCTGGTCTCAGCCCCCTTTTCCTTCTCACCCACCCCATTGGTTTAGTGTGTGTGTGTGTGTGTGTGTGAATGTGATAGCCCTGAGATGGAAAGGATTAGCCTCTCACAATGCAAAAACCAAGTTTCCTCCTTACAGCACGTGCACTTCCAATGACATGATTCGTGTTACCCCACACCTGTTTACTACTGCCGGGGCCTTCCTTCATCCTTGAGGGCTATTTTGTACTTTCTGCAGCACTCACCTTAATAACAAAGTGGTCACACACATTTCTCAGTCTCTACTATATGGTGGTGTGTAGATACACGTGTAGAAACACAAGAGAATACCAGTTGTATTTCATAGACCATCTCATTCAGAATCTGTTCATTTATCAATGGCATAAATCTAAAAAGAAAATCAGATTTTTTTCCCATGGATGCAAACTGCCCTCCTTCCTCTTAGCCCACCTGCAGCCCCCCAAAAAGGCTTGGGCCAGGCAGGCACTTTCTGTTGAGTGTTTCTAATTTTGCAGGCAACCAAGACAGTACATTGAGGGGGAGGTTTTTGGTTTTGCATGTTTCATTGTTAGAAAGATAACCTTCCTCAGAGACAAACTGTCCTTTATCTTTCAATGTCAAAGGGAAAAAGCTGCAAGGGTGTACAGGGCCTGTTTCTGGAAGACAAAACACAGGGAAACTGTGTTTTTAAAGTCAAGTCTAGAGCATAGTCTTTTAAAACTCACTCAGAGAACTCTGATCAAATGGCACCTCCAAGGTGTAACAAGTTCATCTTTCTTTCACCGCAGGGGTTCTGGTTCTTTGGCTTGTGCTACTCTGGAATCATTTACTGTTTCTGTTTTTATTATCTTAAGTGCTAATTAAAAAGAAATAAAATTTTAAAAAAATGTAGTTTCATTACCTTTTGAATAATGTCATACAAAAATGTATTTGTGTTTTTTGTGCTGTGGGAATTGTTGTTTGTAGATTAATAATACCATTTTGTTTAGAATTACAAAATAGTTTTTAAATATTGTCTGAGAAAAGCCAAAGTTAATGCAACCTAGTGGAAACTGTAAGATCATTGAATATTGTTTCTGTTTTATTGATGCATTTGGATTTTGTTGTTTGATGGAATTTGAGCCAAAAAAACAAAAAAACAAAAAACGCAGGCTTTCCTATTTCTACAACTGATTGTACTTAATGCATTTTGTACCAGTGGGATTTTTTATACTGGAGATTAAAAAATGGAAACTTTTGTGGCTTACTCTTGTGGGCCCCTGACAATGACTGATTTCAAGTTTGATTTCTGGTTGATAGAAAGAAAGTTGTTTTTCTTTTGAGAATTAAAAACTTTGGCTTGATTTCTTTTTTCCCTTTGCTTATATCTAGCATTAGAATTTTGTCTTAAAATACAGCGGTAAGTTTCACTTTTTATTCTGTATTGTGCAGTTACACAATAAGATAATTAGACTTAGAAGTACTCAGTCACTTTAAGTGGATAAATGTATTAGTTAAACTTTAGGAGTTTGCTTTTTTGCTGTTTAGATCGAGGTTTTTTCTGACCCTTCTGTCCTCATTGTGAACATAACCGTGTAGTTGAAACAGTCAGACTTATTTTTGTAATGTATGTTATTGTGTGATGCGGTTTTTTGCTTCTGTCTCCAATATTAAACCATTTTCCTAATACTCGTTTCTCTCTGCGTGTTGTATTGTTGGTGGTCATTCTGTGTTGGTGACGCATCTACACACCTCACTGTTGCACGTATCTGTTTTTTTTCTATATGTTGTGTAAAAAGATACAGTCGATTCCACCTAAGTGAATATCTGATTTGGGAAATGAGGAAACAGCACATCCTCTGGTTTATGTATAGCCTACCCCAACCACTGCTTCCAAGATGATATGCTTTTTCCCTTGATTCATCTAAAAACTGCCTACAGGGCTAGGCTTGGCAAGGCATTTTATGGTCTATTGACCACACATGTTCCTTTCCTCTCTTCTCCCTCATAGCCACAGTTCTTAGGATATGAAGTCTCTACTGCAACCTTAAGAGGAACAGAAGTAGTAGATCCAGGGTCTCTTCTGTATACTCTTAAGTCCAAAGTCACATAACCACAGTCAAGCTTAGAACGGGATCATCTTGAAAAAAGAGGTGAACCCTGAGGGAAGGACAGAATAAAACTAGCTGGTCAACAGGGGGTATAAAAAAGTTAAACTTAGGTGTGTGCTACATCAATTGATAGGTATGTATAGAAATGCATTTCTATAAGCTAATCGGTTTAATCCAGGACTAGCTTCAGTTATTAAAACTGACAGAAATGAGAAAAATGCCAGATACTCCAATGGAAGCTGGACTGAATGAGGGAGGCGGGAGACTTCTGCTCAAGTCCTCACTCTCCATTTCCAGATGTCAGCTCATGATGCCATAGGTCCCATGCTCCCTCCTGGATGGACACAGGATAGGAGTGAGCTGTACTCCTACTGTCACCCGACCCCTGATCAGAGAACTTCCCCCATGGCCTCTGCAGTGAAAGCCACAGGCCCGCCTTGCTCTACTGTCTGCCAGCTCAGGAGTCTGGCTGCCCTCAAGGTGTTCTTTACAGATCCCATGACTGTTTGCTCTGCTCCCTTCTCTTCTCCCTGCTTCTAACCTCTCAGTGCACATGCTCTGCCTGCATCAGGCCACCCCGAGCCTGGTACCCTGCAGCTCTGGCTGCCCAACCCCTGGTTTCAGCTGGCCCCTCAGGCCCGTTCTTCAGTCAGTCAACAACCTCAGGCCTAGCAGGCAGAAGAAAGGAGGCTCTTTCCTTAGTCTGAACCACTGGGGGTGAGTTTCAGATTCCTAAGACTACACTGATGGAAGCCGATCCTAGCGATGCTTGCCGTCTAGCTCACTGCCTTGTCAGTACGCCTCTGAAAGGCCACTGCTTCCATCAGTGCGGAAAGACGGCTAAAGGTGGGATTTATTTTTCTGTCTCTTCTGGAAGAATGGGTGGCATAAGGGAGGGAAGACTGGGGAAGAGGATGATCAAATTGTTTCCAAGATGTGTTTCTTTGTGAAATACAAACACTACCACCATTCGCCACAAGGCATAATGTTCATGCACAGAAAGACAAAGCATGTCTCTACAGAAGACTCAGAGGCTCCTTCCAGTAAGCACCTGTGACTATAAAGTCGGCCGCTGCTTAGATTCACACTCAGTGTTGATTCTGTAGAACTCCACTACGGTGTGAGAAGGTCTGTCTGCTGCCCATGCACAGACCATCTTGGGAAACCACAGAACCATATATATTTCCTGGCTGGTGGACACCACGTGCCCTCCAGGCCACAGCAGCAGAGTGTGATCCGCAGGCTCTTAGCTAGCAAGCTAGGCAATGCAATGAAACATAAGCGGACCATGAATCGTTCCTGATAAGTGAATAAAACATTGTGGCCGGACAATCAGCTTATTCACTTATCAGGAATCGACTGTTCTACTAATTCACTGTTTTTGTTTTTCATTTCTGTTGTAGTTCACTATTTTTGCTGTGTTCTGTTTTTTTCCTCTCATGCTTGGGCAAAATCACTGGGAATATTACTTTCATGTGACCATGAACCATTTCTATTGAGTGAAAATGGTATCTTAAAATCTATGCACTTGCTATCAGGAACACAATACTGGATGTGTCTTATATATATTGAACTATATAGTACTCGATTTCTTAAATAAAGCTTAAGAAAGCACTTGTGTGTAAAGTTAATGTGATTATTTCTAAGGGGTGTTGTTTTAACTCTTGAGTGATATAGGATATTTTTCATTAAAATTATATCATTGTCTTTATGAATTAATATTCAATAAATTGACTTTGGAAACAAAACCATTGGTGGGGGGAGTTCTTGCAAGTGCATTTTAGCAAGGATTGGAGTCCCATCTTTCTGGTGGCTGTGTGAGGCAAAACAAAGAAATCCCTTCCTTTCCAAAGGCCACTAGAATGCCACTGTATGCATCCTCACCTAGAAAGCCCTCTGCGTTTTGAATGTGTGATCTTGGGCTCTGAAGAGGGGACAAAAGAGGAAGGCAGGCCTGAGAGTAATGCTGGTGTGTATCAGTGCTGTGTCAGATGAGGTGACACTAAAACTACACCCTGTGGAGGACAGTGGCAGTTCTATTCAGGACTGTAGAATGAGGGACAGCAGAGGCAGCATTGATCATTCTGGATGAGATACTAAGGTTTGAAAGTCTCTTGTGAGGAGAGCTGGCCTGGAAGATTCCAGGCTTTAATGGGAGGCCTGCTGCTTGGCCCTTTGAAAGTGAACATGAAAATTTCCTACAGGCTTTAAATTTGGACAGAATGGCATTTCTATTCGACCTCTCCACCTTGGGAGTTTTTATGTTAAATTTGTTGTTCTTACTTACATGTGATTCTGAGAAGAACTAATTTTCTGCCAAAAATGGCACAGACACCTATTGTGAAACCTCTTAGCCTGTGCAATGAGGAACAGAAAGAGTGTAATGACTGAAAACCGAGAAGCCAGAACTCTTCCACTTTCTGTCTTCCCCACCCGCCAAACTTTCAACTTGCAAACCTGTCACACCCCAGAATCAAAGCTGGTAGTGAAAGGTGAGGGCCAGGAACAGATTGTCACATCAAGGGAGAGACTTGATAACATGCCCTAGATCGCTGTCTAAGAGAGAGGTAACACTGAAAACACTGATATGCTGGGTCTGGGCTCAGCCATTAAGAGGTGGCCAGGGGAAGGACGACATTCCCTTTCTTAAGACTGTGTCCAAGGCTATTGGCAAGGGGCCTCTGAGCCTCAGCAACACAAGACAAATGCAAACTAGCACATTCCCCTCTCCAGAGGTCTGCAGCTCTGAGTCTGGAGTGCTCCATGCCTGGAAATCCATAGTGCCCTGCTGGGAGACGAGCTTAGGGTACTGGCTGAGTTGACATCATGTCAGGTCAATAACAAGAGCTTCTTCATGGGGAATATGACGTTTTCTTTAACCTCTTTGATGGTCAACAAAGCAGCTCCTCCTTGCTGGTCAGAGAGATGTCTTTAAGGCAAAATGTGCATCTACAAACAAAACACACACGGGCACTATGTTCTATAACTGGTCAACCACAGCTTAAGCTACATATAAGGATCCCCAAGTAGGGATCACTGGGTGATGCTTCTGTCATGAAGTTGGTGTCAAACATAGAGAAAATAGGTGCATTCCCTGGAGAGCCCGACTACCCCCGTTTGAACGCCAGTTCTCCCCTTACTCTCTGGTTGTAGCTTCTATGTGCCTTAATTTCCTCATTAACATAACAAGGGTGAAACTGTACCTAGTGGGTGATATTGTTAAGGACTAACCAAACCCACACACACTATGACTGGATCACAGCCTAACTGTTCAGTAATACAGTTTCCTAGGTAACTTAATCATGGCTGGCCAGAACCTACGGTCTTTCCATCTGAGAGCTCTGTACTAACAGGTCCTAGAACAGACATTTTTCCCTCCTGACAAACTGTCCAGAGGTGATTACACTTAGGACCTGAGCCACAAACCAACACATTCACAACACAGTGAGTTCCTGTGTACTTCAGTATCATGTTTAGTCAGCACTCCCAATAGGAGAGCCTGGTTCTTCCCAACACAGGAGAGACAAGGACCCCTGTAGATCTGCCTCTTGTGGGTTCTAGACCAGTGGTTCTCAACCTATGGGTCTCCATCCTTTTGGGGTTGTAGATCAGATATCCTGCATATCAAATACTTACATTATAATTCATAATAGTAGCAAAATTGCAGTTAAGTAGCAACAAAATAATTTCATGGTTGGGGTCACCACAAAGGTCGCAGCATTAGGAAGGTTGAGAAGCACTGTTTTAAGCCTTTGCAAGACAAACTGATGTCTTTAGCAGCAACCTGGCTAGAACTATCTGTGACCATGCTGGGGAGAGCAAGGGTGGGGCCAGAAGCGCAGATGGAGCTGAGCGCAGGGCACTCTACAGCATCCTTATCCTACTTCCCATTTAAAACCACACTGCTTTTGTTGTTTTAGTAAGTGCCCACATCACGTCTCATTTAGAAAAGCAATTTTGTTAGAGCACACGTTAAAAAAAAGTCACTGCTTGGCCACAGAGTAACTGCAACTCTTCACTAACTAAACCTTGTAGCAAGCATTGTGTGTGGAGCCTCCCTTATGTCCCCGGGGAACTCGGTGACACAGCACAGTAACCCTAGTCACCTGGAGCTGAGTCCATGCTGTGTATGTCTGCCCCCAGGCTAGATGTGCGCTCTCTGAGGGAAGGGGCAGGCTCACTCCTCACTGTGTTCTGTGCCTCCTGGTGATCATGGAGTGGAGAGAGAGGGTGGGTCAGTGGGCAGCTGGGTGGTTGAAGGGATGTGGCCAGTGATTTGGCTGACTGTAGAAATGCATTTTTTTATCATGGGCTGAGGACGGTGCAAACCGGAAGCCTCTTGGCAAAAGTCAGTAACCACTTTGGGAGGTCTAGGACAGAGGTTGGAATGAGGACGAATAACCATGCTTGTGACCTCCAAATGTGCAGAGAGACTCTTCCCTCCGAGTTCTTAGGCACTGGGTCCTCGATGGTGCAGATCTCTTTTAAGTGTCTTTTCACCCCTTCAGGAAGATTTTCTATCCATGGAAGTTCTTTGATACAATTCTGACATCTAAGGGGGAAAAGGGATCTGTAGAACTAAGTACAATACTGGAGAGCTGTGAGTAAAGGCAACTGATTGTCAGGTCCTCTTTAGATGCAGGTTCTCTGGTTCCTCGTGTGTTCTTGCTGGGCCTGGCAAGCTGGAGTCTATAGCTGGCTGGAACCCAACCCTCCAGCAGTACAGCATAACAGCCACTGCAACAGCAGCCTTGAAGGGGCAAAAGGATCACACTGCTTCTGGGGTACCAGTATGTCCTTGAGTCCTACAAATAAATCCCAACCTGTCCATACATTCCAAAGATATGCCATTTCCATTAATCATTTGTTCAAAAGACTTGCTGTGAACAGTTCTGCCCATACCAGCTACTTAGGTAGGAGCCAGGATACACAGAAAACTAATACACCATCCCTCCCTATGGAATACTGCCACACCTGGCACATCTGCCCAGTAAAGGGAAGAACTGAATTCAAAGGAAGATGGTCTCAGTCTAACCATACTCTCTACAAAGGCACTGGAGCACATGGTGCTCACATTGATGGTGTGCAGAAGACTCGTGACAGGTGGCTACTCTCTCAGAGTCTCTAGCCCATGGCTAATCTCAGTACTGCTGAGACTCAATGTTGTCGTGCCAGAGCTTGGTGACATAAGGAAAATGACTGTGGGTGATGAGGCAGACATCTGTCTACAAGCATCTCCCCCAAGGGCAGAGATAATGAAAGTGGTCCGTGTGATGAAGAGGCATATTCTAATCAGTTTAGAAGTGTTTCCCATGAAAGAACTTCACCCTTTTCCAAACTATGAACTTAAGCAAATCCTGCCAACCTTATGGAAGCAGGGAAGAGATGGGAGGTGGCAGGGACTCTGTAGGTATGCTGAATGGAGCTGTGGCTTGACAAAGTTGTTCCTCTAGGCAGACTCTGCAGTCACCATACAGCTAGAGCCCTGGGGACCCAAATCTGAAGCTCTCTCCCCACCCACAACAGTCTGCCGACCCATCATGACTGTGTCAATCCCTGATGTGGCTATTCAGTTACCTTTATAAGCTGGTCATCACCTGCTTCTTTCTCTGGCACTGACCTCTGCAGAATAGAGGTCAAAAGAGCAGGAGAGACCCAACTACCTTCCCTGAGTCTAGGATGCAAATGAGAAAGGCAGCCTTCCAGGGTTGACTAGAGAAAAACCAAAACAAATTACTCAACATTCTTCATTAAAGAATGTGACAGGGCTGGGAATATATGTCTGTGGTAAAATGCTTCCCTGCAGGCACAAGGCTCTGGGTTCCATCTTCAGCACTGTAATCAGCAATGTGATGACCATGAAGGTGTCACACACCTGGCAATTACAACTGTCCCTTTAGCAGTTAGCTATTTTCCTCTGACACGGCAGTACTAATTTAGAAGCACAGATCTACACTGCAGTCTCCCAGATTACATTACAAACATAAACTGCAAAGTAATCTCTGAGAGAAAAAAAACATTTGGTGGTCAGAAGTATGAACTACTGTCAGATTCACTTTCTTCTTAGGAATTCATCATGTGTCACGACATGTGAAAAGTCTCCACATCCCCCAGCCAGGTCCATCTCCCTAAGTGGTTATCCAGTGTTTAAGGTGCACATTCCTCCTGGAACCGTGTTGCCACACGGCATACACTAACCAGGAGCAACAATGTGCCAAAGAGCTACTGCCTGGGTTTAGCCATGGCTCTGCTACGTATTAGCTTAATAACCTTAAGCATGTTAGTAAATCTCTTCCAGTCATAAGATGAATGTCATGGTCACAATACCTACCAACGTGCAAAGTGACAGTTCCTGCACTTCAGCACAGTGGGCAACAGAGCAGCATTTATACACCAAGCAGAACCCATGTTCCAAGACACTTAGGGAAATAGTACAAGAAATAGAATCCCTGTAGGATTCTGGGGCTCCTTGAGAAAACTGCTGACAAGCTGATGGTTGCATGCCTTTACTCCCAGCACTGGAGAGGTGGAGTTCAAGGCCAGCCTGGTCTATACAGTAGTAAATTCAAGGCAAGCTAGGGCTACCTGGTGACATCCTGTCTCAGAAAATTACA